GAAAAAAAAACACCACCACAGAGGGATTGGAAGCAAATACTATTAAATGATGATGCCTGGAGGGGATTGTAGTCATTGCAGTGAAATGAAATACAACAGAATGAATGCAAAGCTGATGTTCTCCCATGTAAACGATCACTCAATTCACAATAAAAACGTATTAAAAAGAAAGAAATACCGACTAATACTAGGGACAGGTAGGAGAAAAGGGAAAAGTGGGAACTCACTTAGAGGACACTGGGCTTCTGTGAAGAGTGACAAGAAAATGTAGAAACCAATACTCGTAATGGCTCAACAACATAATCACCGTACCTCATGTCACTGAGCTGTACACGTGAGACATGTTGAAAAGGCAGTTTGTTGCAGATATATTCTATATTAAACCCAAATCCAAAAACCTGTCACTGTCAAGTTAATTCCAACCTTTCCACCACTCTTGATGTTGTTGCTGTTATAAGTACAGTCCGTCAAGTTGGTTCCAACCCACAGGGACCCTGTATAGGGTTTCTGGTGAGCTTGAACCACCGACCCTGTGGTTGGAACCGACTTTGTGGTCCAGCACATTAACCCACATTGCCACACCACTCTGACAGAAACTCTGTATTCCTCAATAACTCCTCTTGTTCCCCTCTCACTAACTCCTGGTAAACAGGAATGAACTTCGGTCTCTCTACAGTTGCCTACTCTAGACATCGTGGGTGAGATAGTATTTGTCATTTTGTCTTAACCGAATTCACTGTTTTCCAGGTTCATGCATGCTGTAGCATCTATGAGGACCACATTTCTTTGATGACTGGTACTCCATTGTACGCACGCCCCACTTTTTGCTCCCCATTCCTGGGCTCTTGTCACCATACCGCACTAAACACTGACCTACATGCATCGCTTTCTATTGCTGTTCTCGAGTTTCTCCTACGAGTAGGATTGTTGGGTCATATGGAATAATTTTGATTTTTAAAATAGTATATTCAAACATTCTTCTTCTTAATTACTGAGCTGTGTCATGTCCCCTTCTAACTTTGGGTGTGAAACAAATACCCCATCTCTTCACCCTACTTCCTGCCTGGGCTAAAAGCAGGATTTGCATGTTCGTCCCTTTTGCAAGAACAGAAGAACAGTTCTTCCAGAGATGAATGAAGCAGAATAAAGATTTTCAAAACCCAGCCTGACCCTCCCTAAGGGTCCAAGGCCCACTGCTTATTTTCTAGAACACTCTGAAGTCTGAAGACCAACCTCTTGGAAAGAGTTGTCACCATCTCCCCTGAGGAAGCTGAATCTAGTCTAAGACGCACAGTCAAACCACAAGAGGGGCAGAAGCTACCTGCCAGGTGAAGCCACAACAGCTCTGTCCAGTCCCTTCCCCTTTCCTGCTCAATTCTAGAAACCCTGAGAGAAAGCAGAGTTGAGACCCTGAATTGCAGCTTCCAAACACGCAAATCTCCGGTAAGGTGGGAAGGGAATCAAGAAGAACTCTCCTAAAATGTGTGTTTATGCCACAGCCTGGAAAGAGCTGCTCTACTAAACATGAACAAGAGGCGTATTGACCCTGAACAATTTGTTAACAGGAAAACAACAATGACTAGCACATACAAACCCAAGAAATCCAGTCTAGAAAGCACACACGACTCTAGGACGGAGGCTCTAATCTTCTTCTGAGTTACAAGACTTTGTAAGAACATGAATATTATTAAAACAAAAAACAAAAACAACTCAAGATGAGATTAAAAACTGAGTAACACTATACAAAACAAAACAGAACCTCTTTTCAGAGCTAAGAAACCACTTGATGCCCAACATAAAGCTGATAAGAAGTTAACAATTGCAGACACATTTTATCCAAACAATAATAAATGGCTGAATCTGTGGGAAATGGCACACAGTATTCTAGAGAAACATGGAGAAAAGGTTTCTCACTCCAAGAATAACAGAGAAAGACTGCCTTCAGACCTCTCCAATGGCACACTGCCTATAATGCTGGTAAGTGCCACTGAGTCAGTTCTGATTTTGTTATTGTTCATAAATGCCGTCAAGTCTGTTGCAACTCATAGCGACAACCCTCTCAATAGGGTTTCCGAGCAGCAGCTGGTGAGCCGGAACCACGGACCTTGTGGTTCAATCCGACTTTGCAGTCCAGCACATTAGCCCACAGCGCCACACCAGGCCTATAAAGTAATGAGGAGAAAGGCCCCCCCACTCTGCCATTCCCGCCCCCGCCACTATCACTGGGATGAAAGTTGAGCACTGTGGCTTCCGGAAGTAGGTGTTAAGCCTGGTGCATAATAACAGTACTAGACAACTATCCAGGAAAACAGGCGGATGTTCATAAATGTCCTTCCCTTGACCTTCTTGTTAAGTGTCACGGAGTGGATTCTGAGTCACAGCGACCCTGGTAGGGTTTCTGAGGAGTGGCTGATGGGTTTGACCCACTGACCTGCGATTAGCAGTCCAGTACTTTATCCCACACCAGGACTCCTCTGGCAAGCAGTGAATTAGTTAAATAATAACCAGAAAACCAAATCGTTACACTGGAGCCGATTCTGAACCCGATCAACCCCCCAGGAAGAGAAGACCTGTGCCATGGAAATTTCACAGCTGTCACCTGGACACACATTTAGCGGGCATTCTGTAGAGAAATGTCTACTGCAGCAGTGTTGTATGTCCTAGCAAACAGGCCCCGAGAACCCAAGTGTCCATCCGCAGAGACGGTGTGGGTAGTGTGGCTCCAACCTCTTACCAATCTGGACGACGACCAAGATAACTCTCAGCTCTCTTATACCCTGGTGGAGCACTGCTGAAAGTGCTTGGCTGCTAACCAAAAGGTCAGCAGTTCAAACCTACCAGCTGGTCCACAAGCATGACGTGGCATCAGCTTCCACACACATTTGTTGTTGTTAAGTGCTACCAAGTTGGTTCAGACTCACAGCGATCCAGTATAGGGTTTCTAAGGAGCAGCTGTTGGGTTTGAACAGTCAACTTTGTGGTTTGTAGTCCAGTTCTAATCCTACAGCGCCACAATAGAAATCCTCCATAAAGATTTACAGGCCTAGGAAATCCTACGGGACAGTTCTCATCAGTCTTGTGGGGTCATGAATCAAAATCAGTTAGGCAGCTGTAGGTTTGGGATGCTCCTTTCTAACAATTCTTCAGTACAGCCAGTACATACTGAATGGTCACTTGCCCCCTCTCCTCACCCCCAGCTTATCATCCATCAGGATGTTTCTTCCCTGCCTGTCTTGACTCTGCAAACATTCCTTTCCGAGCACAATGCTGCAACAATTTGCGTGAGATATCACATGAGAAATAGAGAACTCTCGAAGGAGACTCAATGAAGCTCCCACCGGGATTAGCTCTGACTCAGTTCATCCTAGATCCAGATCACACAGCTCTGGACCCTGGAACGGGACTGACCTAGACGTGGAGGGCTGCATTGCAAAGCACAGAAGAATAGAGAGGATACAGTTCAGTGTAAGGAAATCCAAGTTAAAAAAAACAACAAAAGAAGTAGACTGCCACGTCTTATTCGGAATGGCTGGTGGATTCAAACCTTTTGTTTAGCAGCCAGATACTTAACCACCATACCCGCAGACTGTCTTGAAGTCTGAGTAGTTAGCAAAATACCAAGAAAGAATGCGGCAAGGCCAACACAAAGAAGTACACATAACTAGAAGCTGGTGAATGTATATTTTTTATTTAAAAAAAAAAAAAAAATTGTTTACAGTGGCTTCCACTAGACAAAGGACACGGGTGGGGAGAGCCGTACATTTTCACTCTTTGCCCTTGTCTATCATTTAAATTTCCTACCCATGTACGTGGGTTACTTTAATTCTTAAAGATCACAATGGAATTTTGTTGTTTAGTTCCTTAAAACTGACAGTCATACATAAATGCTGTCACCGTAACTCGTACTCAGTGGAGGCCCCAACTCATGCACAACAAAACCAGACATTAACAAGTAGCACTTTGTGTTAGTACCATACAAAATGACCTGGCTTTAGGCACTATTTCAGGGAATGCTAGAAATGTACAAGGGCATCCAGTCCTGCCACAACCTGCAAAGGACTCTGCTGATTCCCCATTTATACTTCCGAAACAAGACAGAACCAAGAGTGAACTTTACAGGCTACAAGAGTTGTCGTCACCTGATGAGAGGGATCCACGCCAACAAAACTCAAAGTTAAAGCTCAGGCTTTCCAAGGTATTTATTGTTTCCTAGTCTGCAGATTTGGCACAGATTTTGGGTTTACACATCCCAATTGGAGAGCTGGATTTTGGTGATCCCTGTGGTGTTCTGGTTGCCTGGTCTAATTTCACACCTGGACAGACTTTCCACGTAACAGAGTCATGACAACGGTTCTGGGAGGATGATGAGTCTGATGTAAGTCGGTCAGGCGTGCCAATCGCTTGGCTGGTTAGAATCGGGCACCCTTTTGCTGACTATCAAAGGGGAAGCCCCAACCCAGCTGACTATCTGATCAGAGCAGGTGAAGAGGGGAGGGGCCCTCGTGTCTTGCTGCCAGGGCAGGAAGCCCACCTTTATCAACGATTTGCCAGATTTCAATCAAGAAAAGCAACAAACTTCCATTTCCAATTAAAGTGATTATGTAGCAACATTAATTTTTCAGTTCCCAGTATCAATTGGATCGGGCTGTTAACCTCAAAAGTTGGCAGTTCGAAACTACCAGCCATTCTGTGGGAGAAAGATGAGGCTTTCTGTTCCCATAAAGATTTACAACCTCGGAAACCCTGTGCAGAGTCACTGTGAGTTGGAACCGGCTCCACGGTACTTAACAACAACAATATTAATTAGAAAATTTCTGTATTCTCACTTGAACTAATTTAAATGGTTATTCTTAAACTGAACACAGACTGGTCATGAGGCAGATTCTTTCTAGAAGACGCTCCAATTGTATCCGGTAGGTTGTTTCCCACATCCACCAGCGCCTGCATGAGCCTGTGCGGAGCTCTCTGTACTGCTTCCACGTGGAGCGCCACAGCGCCCCCTAGAGGTCTTCTCTTCTAGACCCAGACCGATTGTCTTCCTTTGAAGCTCGAGACTTCGAGTCTCCCTCCTTCTTTTTTTTGCTCTTCTCTTGTTTAGTTTTATTTTTCTCTTTATTTCCTCCTCCTTTGCCAGGGTACACCTGTCCCTCCAGAGTTACATCAGCACACCTATCTTGACTGACCAAGAAGTCTTTGATCTCCCAAGCATAGCTCCCGTCACGAAGCATGAAGATAGCTCGGTCGGATCCCACAATAAACCTTTAACAGAGAGACGAGATCATGCAATCAGTGTATAACGCTGTATGCTGAGCAATTCAGACACATATGTACACATAATATATACACAGAAAAAAACTGATTTTGAATTCTACATGAATACAGAACAAAAGGTTGTATTTTCTTATGTCTAGTAGGTCCAAACTTACCAGCTGCTTCTCAGAAATCCTATATGGGGTGGTTATGAGTCAGAACCAAAGTCACAGCACTTAAAAACAGCATGCACTAACATCCTGTTGAAAATACTAACTCACTGAACAATTTAACCCATTAGCTGAGACCAAACTGGATGTTCCTTAAGTGGGTACTCATGTTCTGACACTACCAGGGAGAGCTCCCAGCATGCCCCAAGGTGATTTGGGGGGCTGCGGCTGTGGTGGTAAGGAGGCTTCTAATTTTATCCGTTTAATATTCTGAGGTTTCATCTGACCAAAAGGCTGTAGCTGATAAAGAGAATGTCAGTGGTTGAGACTGGGTCATGGTCAGATACCCACGAAGGGCTAAAGAAGATACTCAGCTACTGACCGGAAATCTTATCTCCCGACGTGAACAACAGGCAGCTCAGAAAAACCCACACTCAACAGGTCCCACGGAGTAAAGAGGACCAGAATAGAGGTTAGGTGGGCCCCTAGTGTGACCAGGGGACACAGTTCTGTCCCTGACGGCCAACACCCACACCTCCACCCTTTGATTCCTAACACTCCACCATCCCACACAGACTGGGCTCTTTTGACCAGTCACTACAGAACACTGGTGTGTCTGTGTAAGTTACCGGGGTCTGCCTTCACAAGACACTAGTGACTCCTATTTCTCTCTATTCGATTTGTACTTTTGAAACGAAGACATCTAAAGACACTAATGTCAGAACTGCTGTTGAAAACAAAAAACAACAAAAAAATGAATTCCATAAAATTACATTCTCAGAGCCACAGTGAACGGTGAAAACTGGGCCCCTTGAGATTAACTTCGTTATCTGTTACTATTCTGATCCACAGCTGTCTGCGGGAACGTATTGCTGTGAGTCATCAGGTCAATTCTGACTCAGAGCAACCAACCCTCTGTGAGAGTTGAACTGCCCCAGAGTTCCCTGAGCTTCAATCTTTAGGAAGCCAGGTCTGTTCTCCCAGGGGTAGATGGTGGGTTCAAACCTTTGAGCTAGCAGCTGAGTGCTTAAGCACTGCACCACTAGTGGTGAACACAGTGACCCATAAATGCATTCTCCACTGAGATCCCAGGAAGAAACTGTCACACGACAACTGTGTCAGTCTTTGCGAGAGCTTAGGCCACATACGAGGGGGCTTCAGAAAGTTCCATGAGCCTTTAACTCCATTTTCCATGAACTATTTGAAGTCCCCTCATATTACAACTTTTACTCGGATGAAATCCAAGAGCAAATGAAAATTTAAAATCAGACACTGTAGAAAGGAAAGGTTCAGGGCCCTCCCTGGTTCGCCTCCACCGTTCCCATGAAGGTTGCTGCTGCTTCACCTTTGGACGTCGTAGTTGGCATTGAAAAGGCTGCCCTGCCACAAGCTAGTGATTTCCTCGGTCTCCTTCTCAGTGGGGTTCCCCGAGACTGTGGCAAACATCATCAGGGTCTTGCCCTTTTTTGTCATTTTCAGGATGCTTTCAGGCTTTCCAGGATCGAGCTGTGAGAAGTCGATGGGAGCTGAGGGTCTTTTGTGCTCTGGCAGATCTCCCTCTTCGATGTCATCATCTTTCTGTCAGGAAAGGGACAAAGCAAGTGTATCAAACCAATTATCCTAAACTCTCTTGTCAACTGGTCTTGGATAATATTCTGACAGGTGCAAGTGGATAGCCTTAGTTATAACAGGAAAAAGAAAATGCTTGGGTTTTTCTCCTCTATTTGACTTTCAAGCTTTCAGATAGTATTTAATATCCATCACCCTAAGTTACCAACCACAGGAAGCCCCCTGGAGATGAAGGATTTCCAAGTTTCTTCACTCTGGAGAAATCTACCCAATGTGGTGATTGTACTAATGACCACAATTCTTGTATGGCCATACAATGGAATTACACCCAGCAATGCAGAACAAACACTACAACTTGCAACAAATCTCAATACAGAATGACAGAAGCCAGTTACGTCTGATCTAAAGGAGATATACGATTCCATTGATTTAAAGTTCAAGAATAGGTAAAACAAATCTTGGGTGGCAGAAATGAGAACAGTGGTTGCCTGTGAGTGGAGCAGGTGAGAAGTAACTGAGGGAACTTCTGGAAAGATGGAAATGTTCCATATTTTGATAGGGCCGTGCATTAAATGGCTGGATCCATTTGTCAAAAGTTATCGCACTATGTATTTAAGACCTGTGCATTTCATATGTATCAATTTCACCTAAAAACCAAGAACTGCAAACAAACACTCAATTCTCTTCACTTTTTTTTGGCAGTTTTATGAACTAGCTAAAAGTAATACAGAAATGGCTACAATCATACACTGACATAGAACTTCTAGAGGTTCAAGCCAGATTCAGAAGAGGCCGTGGAACGAGGGATATCATTGCTGATGTCCGATGGATCTTGGCTGAAAGCAGAGAGTATCAGAAAGATGTTTACCTGTGCTTTAATGACTACACAAAGGCTTTCGATTGTGTGGATCATGACAAGCTATGGACAACACTGCAAAGTATAAGTATTCCAGAACACTTAATTGTGCTCATGAGAAATCTCTACCTGGACCAAGAAACAGTTGTTCGAACAGAACATGGGAACACTGAATGGTTTAATATTAAAAATGGTGTGTGACAAGGTTGTATTCTTTCACCATACTTATTCAACCTGCATGCCCAGCAAATAATCCAAGAAGCTGGGTTACATGAAGAAAAACGTGGCATGAGGATTGGAGGAAGACTCATTCACAACCTGTGATATGCAGATGATACAACCTTGCTTGCTGAAAGTGAAGAGGACTTAAAACATCTACTGATAAAGACCAAAGAGCACAGCCTTTGGTATGGATTACATCTCAATGTAAAGAAAACAAAATTCCTTACCACTGGACCAACAACATTCTTATCATTGGAGAAAAGATTGAAGTTGTCAAGGACTTCATTCTTCTTCCATCAACTATCAACACTCCCGAAAGCAGCAGTCAAGAGATCAAACGACATATTGCATTTAACAACAACAAATCATGGCTGTAATCCAAGAGTCAAATCATGACAAGAGTTGGTGAGCATGCAGAGAAAGCAGGGACCTCATAACTGCTGGGGACAGTCATTCGGAAAAGTCTGGTAATCCTGCGAAAGGTTAGTGCGTGACACAGAAATTCTACTTCTAGGTATGTAACATATATCCTAGAGAAATGATCGCAAGTCTCTGCAAAAACTTGCATCCAAAAACGTAGAAGCAATCAAAATACCCGTCAACTGAAGACTGTAGCCATCAAAAACCCACACCTGTTGCCATCAAGTCAAATCAGACTCATGGCAAGCTCAGGTGTCAACAGAGTAGAACTGCTCCGTAGGGCTTCCAAGGCAGTAAGCTTCATGGGGGCAGAGCCCCAGGTCTCTTCTACAAAATGGCTGGTGGGTCTCAATGCAGGTGTTTTCAGTTAACAGCCAAGTGCCACTAGTGTGCCTTGCTGTTGTTGTTGTTAAGTGCCGTCGAGTCAGTTTCGACCCATAAGCGACTGGTGAGCTTGACCCACCGACCCTGTAGTATAAGACTGGCTTTGTGTTGGGGTGATTTGTATTGCTCTCTAGAGCTCTTAATTGTTGAAACCCTTGTTCATCTCTGCAGCACCCTATATTTATCTCAAGGTCTGAACATTTCCAAATGTTCAGGATTTCCTTATGAGGAGATGTTCTCCCTTCCACAGCTCACAAGGCTTCACTTACAAGGGTCCAAAAGGAGATTGTGAGTCTACAAGGGAGATGGTGTCTAGGGAAAATTGCTGTATTAAGTTCCCTCTTCATAAATCATCCAGACATACACACTCAAGCATGCTCAAATCTTCCTATCAACTGGTGAAAGAGGTGAAAACACAGGCCTGCTTTCTTCTAATCAAATGCATTCCATGGTATGTAGTGGTGCCCTAAGTTAAGCACTGGGTGGAAAGGCCGGTTTGAACTTCAAGGTCGGCAGTTCAAACTCACTAGCTGCATTTCAAAAACCCTATACAGGGTCACTATGAGTTGGAAGCAATTCAACAGCATTTAATAACAACAACAATTGCTAAACAACAAAAAAACAACTTCCTCTGCTATATAACAAAGAAATAGAGAGACATTATCACAAAATGACAAAACTTGTGTTGAAAGGAACCTCAGGGACCATCCCGTAAACCCTCCCCATTAGACTGATAAGGAAGAGGTCAGAGGGTCACATGACCTGCTCAAGATTGCACAGTAAGTACAAGGGGGTTTCAGGAAGTTCACGGAAAAAATCCATTATCTTTGAATTCCATCTTTTCATGAAGTTTTGAGAGGCCTCCTTGCAGAATCCAAGCTTACTGCTTACATTCCACCAGCTATATGAACTAGTAGAGTACAACCACTTTGGAAGGGAGAAAGGCAGCAACAGAGTTCTGACCAATAAACTTTTATCTTTAAAGCTTACTATACGTAGTAATCCACCATGTTCAGCGGACTCAAGTAAGAAACGAGAACAAACTCTAACCAAAACCAATTAACTGCTCTTTAAATGAAAAATACGAGTTCCAAGACAGAAAGCTACCTTACCTCTGATAACCCACCCCTTAAAAAAGACAAAACAAAACTCCATCCACAAAATAACAAAACTTCAACAAGAAATATACCAAAATAGGAAGTTTGAAACACTACACCGATTTAGAGGATGGGAAAACTGAACGCTTGTATGACTCTTATACAATTGCCACCACGCCAGCCACCCACACACTCAGACCCAAAGGGGACAGGGGAAGAAACCTGGGCTGTGACTCTTCAGGAGTGCAGGGCTCACTGGACACGGCGGGCAGCGCGAGTGACCTGGGCACTGAGAGGAAAGGGGGCTGGATAGTGACAGACTGTGATTGGAGTGACCCGAAAAATGGTGACCGAAGAGGGCACTGGGATGAGGGGCCTGGGGCAGGGGTCTGCAGGACGTCACAGGATCAGGCACGATGGGTTAGGGTCAGTAAGGATCCATGAGCATGAGTACAAAGGACGTCAGTGGATCAGAAGATACTGAGGCAGAGATTATAAAGGATCCAGGGCTAAGAGGGGAGTAAAGGGTTAGTCTGAGCCGGGACCCGAACTGAGAACCCCGAAGGCGTGCCCGTGCCGCGAACCTCCCACTGTTCCAGCAGCCTCGCCATGTCCGCATCATTGTAATCGCGAATATCCTTCTTCTTTTTGGGAGATGGAGAAGCCTTGCCGGGTGCTCCGGCCGGGTCCCCAGAGGCGGAAGCCCCAGGCGGTAAGAGCAGCAGCAATAGGAGGTCGGAGGCACAAAGCAGAACCACAGCTGTGTGCGCCCAGCTGGAGGCCGCCATTTTTGTCGCGCAGCCGCACCGCTGCCGAGACCGGACCTGCGCTCCTAGCGGCCGCCCCCTCCAGCCGCCGGCTTCCGGGGCCTGCACTTGCTGTAACCTGCTTGGGGCCTGCCCACACGCTCATCCAGCTCCGCCCCGCGGATGTGAGACACCCCGTGGCCCTGCCTCCCGGGCCGTGCTAACCTACCGGGCCCCGCCCCGTCCAATTTTCCACAGACCCCGCCTCCGGAAGCCCCGCCTCTCCACCTTATCGACCCCTCCCCGCCTGGTGGGTTTCTCCCCTTGGTTGAGCTGCAGTTTTCTGCCTAGTTCCTGTAGGGCCCTGCGTTCTCCTGCTAATTTTCTGTTAAAAGCTGTCCATTTCTCTCTAACGCACAAGGCCAGGTCCAAAATGCCTCTGTTTCCTCGCTTGTAAAGTGAACTGAAGCTATAAATTCTGGGAGCTGCCCCAGCGCTTAGCAAGCCCATGTGATGGTATCCACGTGCCCCTTCTTGTTAGATGCCATCCAGTTGGTACGGACTCATAGCAACCCTACAGTTTGAGTCCATCAATGGCACAGTGCCAATCCATCTTGCTGGAGGTCTTACTCTTTTTCTCCGACCCTCCACTTTACCAAACATGATATCCTTCAGGGACTAGTCCCTCCTGATAATGTGTTCGAAGTATGAGAAATCTGGCCATCTTGGCTTCCAAGGAGCACTCTGGCTGCATTTTTTCCAACACAGATCTATTTGTTCTTTTGGCAGTCGGTGGTATTTTCAATATTCTCCTCCAACACCATAACTCAAATGCATCGATCCTTCTACAAAGTCTTCCTTATTCGTTGTCCAACTTTTTCACATGCATATGAGGTTGTTGAAAATACCATGGCTTGGGTTGGGTACACCTTAGTCCTCAAACTGATATCTTTGCTTTTGAACACTTCAAAGAGCTCTTGTGCCGCAGATTTGCCCAATGCAATACGTTTCCCTAGTCATCTGCATTTCCTTTGAGAACTGCCAGCTATAAAGTTAGTGACTTTTTCAGGTCACAAACAGATTGAACCTACAGCTTGCCTGTTCATCTCCTGAATTTAAAAAAAAAAAGTTGTTTTTTTTTTTTTTTAAATAAGTATTACGTTTCATTTTTTAAAAATAGTTCGTCTTTTTTTCTTCTTCCAAGTAATCAAGGCTTTGACAAATCCATTTCAAGGTTGAATCACTTTTTTTTTTCCCTTACTAAAAAAGATTCTGGCTAGAGATGCTTTAAAATTCCACTAGTTTTAAATGACGGATCTACTAATTTTTAAAATTACATAAGAAAGACATGAGTCATTCCCTGAAGCTGTAAATAGGCAAATATTAAACAAAGTTTAACACTCCCCCACCTCACTGTCACATTCCTTGCCAACCACAGCTATCAGTTTGTCATATGCAATGTACTATATATTCCATACATTTTTCTGTACATTGACAAACATTAAAGTATCTCACTCTCTAGAAGTGATCTTGTTGTGTTTGTTATGTGGTTTATGGTAGCAAACTGAATTTTTAAGCATATTGGGCTCCTTAAGTGTTTTCCACATAACAATATGACAAGAACTTTCATTCTTTATGTTGTTGTTTAGTGCTGTTGAGTTGATTCTGACTCATAGCCACCCAGCATAGGGTTTCCAAGGAGCAGCTAGTGGGTTTGAACCACAGACCTTAAGGCTAGCAGTTCAGTGCTTATCCTACAGCATCACACCAGGACTCCTCATTCTTTATGTGGTGGAGTCCTGGTGTGGTGCTGTAGGTTAGTGCGCTGGACTGAGAAGTCGCTTTGAAATGAAAGGTTGACGGTTCAAGCTCACCAGCTGCTCCTCGGAAACCCTATACAGGGTTGCTATGGGTTGGAACCGACTCGATAGCGCTTAACAACAACAATGTGTTGGTGGAGTCGGTTCTGACTCATAGCGATCCTGTATAGGGTTTCTGAGGCTGTAAATCTTTACGGGAACAGAAAGCCTCATCTTTCTCCACTGGTAGTTTTGAACTGCTGACCTTGAGATTAGCAGCCAGACTCGTAACCACTATGCTACCAGAGCTCTTTCCTCCTTCTTTATAGTGCTGCATAACATTCAGCGTAGTGGTTACGAATCGGGCTGCGAACCGCAAGGTCATCAGTTCGAAACTACCAGCTGCTCCGCGGGAGAAAGATGAGGCGTTCTGCTCCCGTAAAGATTATTAGCCTCGGAAACCCTGTGCAGGGTCGCTATGAGTCGGAACCGACTCCACGGCACATAACAACAACAACATAACATTCATTGGTATGAATACGCTGTGGAATAAAGCACTGGACCAAAATGTCAGTTTGATTCACAAGGTCAGTGGTTCAAACTCACCAG